AGGTATGTGGAAAAGAGGGTCACAGGGCGGGCTGGGATGGCACAACTCATCAAAAATGCATGACCACAGACCCATCATAAACAGAAACATCCAAGACGCAAACACAAGAGATCACACCAAAAAATCATACTCATGCAAGCACTAAGAACAGAAGACCAGAGATGCCCTGAGAAGACTCCAGTCCAAGATGAATAATCATAAGCAATACTCCCACACATCCCCCAATACATCCAGATAATCCAACTTTTCTATGACCCAGGCCCTAGTCTTACTTCTCAGAAAAATTATGAATTTGAATTCCCTTTTCCATGCTTTGCCTTTTTTGGTCTGGTTGCACAATGTAGTATCTATCTTTGAGGAAATCCTTCTATAAATTAAATTCCATCTTGGCAATATCTTATTTCAGTCAGTAAGTGTCCAAGGCACAAAAAGTTTCTTTAAAAGAATTTGCAAGCTAGACCTTTATAAGAAAGTTGCTCTGAAAACCCTGTCTCAGGCTTGGACTTCAGTTGAGATACTATTATCATAGTGTTCTTCTGGATCTGACAATTGACCTCTCCAATGGTGTCGGGAGGGAGCTGCCATTTGTTTTGCAACCAGAAAGGGGCATGAAGGAAGGGCAGTGCCACATGTGTCTACCTTGTGTTCACCCCAAATCTGGGTGTCTTTAATTGCTACCCTCCTCAGACCAGGTTTTCCCCCATCACGTTTTTCATGGTGCGAATTGCAATTTGTAGTTTAGAGTAGTGCTTCTCAAAGTTTCTGCAGGTGTAGTTTGAATTTTTCTAAATGCCCAATCCATTGAAGTTCTATATTTTTATAAAATAGTATAAAATAAAACTTAAAATAAAACTAATTACTAGCAAAATGAAATCAAAAAAGATAAACCTTGATTTTTTTTTTACTCGACTCAACAAACAGAAAATGTTTCTGTCAAATTATGATAGAAATTTCTAAACACTTCTCTTCACATCTCGCTATCTCACCCCAGCCTGCTAACACACAAGCCATGCCTGGCCCTCGTGCACACCCACCTTGAGAATCACTGGCTGGTTTATTTGTGTCCCCCTGCACTGTAAGCTCCATGGCACAGAACCTCATCTGTCCTATTATGTTATGTCCCTAAGGGCTAGCATGGTACCTGGCACATTGCAGGTGTTCAGGACATTCCAGTGAATGACTGAGCAGTGAACGAACAAGTGGCTACTAATAAAGGAGGGTATGTGGAAAAGAGGAGTCACAGGGCGGGCTGGCTGAGTTGGTCACTGCTGGCCAAGTGGCAGGGGACAGGCCATGACATCTGCAAACATCCTTGGGACCAGCAGGAGTACAGGGATGACTTGGCAACACTCCCACTGCCCAGGCCTGGGAGGGGCCCAGGGCAGCGGCCACTGCCAAGGCACAAGCCATGCTCAGAACATGGCCCATGTTCAGTATGGCTCATGCTCTGCCTGGCAGCTTCCCTGATCTCTCTGCCTGGCAGCTTCCCTGATCTCTTACCAGATTCCCTATGAGGACCTGGGTGGGAATTCCACAGAATCCTGGGGACCCCTGTGTGTGTTGGGGGGAGATTGAGAGACTCTGAGGAGGTGGCAGGTGCAGGCGGGCTGGGCTGGCCGCTCTCTGCCCTCTGCTAATGAAGCACCTGCAGGTGCCTGAGCACCCTGCAGCCAGGACAGAACTCAGAGGGAGGCCAGCAGGGACTCAAGCCGGAAGTAGGAACAGACTCTGTGGGGACTCGGGGGCAGGAGGGAGATGGGGGGGCAGCTGAGTCAAGCCCAGTGGGCTTCCCAAGGTTGGCCCCTGCTGTTTAAGGCACCCGACTTCAGGAGAGAGCAGGCCGGACAGAAAGCCACAGTGTAGATAAGGAAACGGAACTTTTCTGGGCTTATCAGCCCAGCCAGGAGAAATGTTGTGGGCAAAACACTCAGGACAGAGAGAAATGGGAGAGGGGAGGGGCTGGACCCAGGGGCCTCCAGGATAGGAGAGGAGGTGAGGGCAAGGTCAGAGAGGAAGCCTGACAGGCCAGGACTCTGGCGGCCCCCAGAGAGTGGGGAGGGGCAGGGCAGGACCAACAGGCCACTGAGGAATGAAAGTCCAGCAGGAAGGAGAGACATGAAGAGGGAACTGAGATGTGAGGACGAAGGATGGGGATTCCCTGGTCTGGCTACTGGCTACCTTTGAGGGAGGCTGTCTGGTCTAACTTCCAAGTCAGTGTGGTAGCCTTGGGCGATGTCCTCAGAATTCCATCTATCTATCTATCTATCTATCTATATATATATATATATATTTTTTTTTTTTTTTTTTAAGACAGAGTCTCATTCTGCTGCCTGGGCTTGAGTGCCATGGCATCAGCCTAGCTCACAGCAACCTCAATCTCCTGGGTTCAAGTGATCCTCCTGCCTCAGCCTCCTCAGTAGCTGGGACTACAGGCATGTGCCACCATGCCTGGCTACTTTTTTCAATATATTTTAGTTGACCAATTACTTTTCTTTCTATTTTTAGTAGAGATGGGGTCACGCTCTTGCTCAGGCTGGTTTCGAACTCCTGACCTTGAGCGATCCACCCACTTTGGCCTTCCAGAGTACTAGGATTACAGGCGTGAGCCACTGGGGCTGGCCCAGAATTCCTTATTAATAACAGATCTGGGAAAGGCAGAGCCAACCAAAAAAAAACCTATGCTTTACAATCTCTAGGGAGTCTATGTGCCCACTATTTTTATTTTTATTTCTTTCTGTTTTCCTATTGCAATTAGCAGGAAGAAGTTTCAGACAAAAGGACCATACATAGTCCGCTTGACCTATGGGAAAGTGCTATTTTTGTAGGTCAAGTGGTCAGATACTAGCATTTTCACGTGGTTCCACCTATTGTATTCGGGTCCAGGACAGAAGGCAGTGGGGGCTAAGGACACAAAGTTCTTCCTCAATCGGTTCTGGGTGTGGAGTGACACCATCCCCAAGAGACCAAAAGGGCAATGGCAGCTGGAAGAGAGAAAGCCGCTTCGTCCCCTTGGAGCAGAGGCACAAAAAGACAGTCACAGGGAAGCTGGCTCAGAAGAGCAAATGGGACAGGTCCTTGCTGGGGGAGCTTGGTCCTGGGGTCGGCTCTGGGGTGGTCTGTGTCCTGGGCCAGGCTCTACCAGGCAAGTCTGGGGACACGCTCCTTCTGTTCTCAGTTGTCAAGCCCGAAGGCCTCAGGGCTGGATGGTGCAAATGGGCTGTAAACGCAGCCCTGTAGACTTGGGCACCAGTGCTATGTCTGTAATGCATGAACTCTAAGGCTGTGTTGGTTTTAGCTCAGGGTTTTAATTGGATCAGTGAGGGTTTTTTCTCCTAGGGCACCCCAGCCTTTGAATGTATAGACACCCTCACCCTGATGTCCCTGGGCAGCTCAACACTAAATATCCACCCACCCCTGGTGTGATGCAGCTGCGGCCCAACCATCCCAGGTAGACGCAAACATGCTCAGCTCTGTAGAAGAAGAAATACCCAACGGCATCACCCCAGAACTGCCTGAGGCAACAGACACCCCCGTTAGACCCTCAGCTGCGGCCACCTGCCAAGGACGGCCACCAGAAGAGCCACGTGAGAAGAGTCCAGCAGTTGCAAGGGCTGTGGCAGCAGTGACAGCACCGTCCCCCCATTCTGCACACCAGTAGGCATTTGCCCAGGCCTGGCGTGGGGAGAACCTGTAATCTCTAAGCCCTGTCTGGCTCCAGATCCTTCCTGCCCTCCCCACTGCTGTCAAGACAGCAGGTGGCAGTGTGGAGAGAACTGTGACACGAATGTCTACTTGGGGAAATGCTTAGACACCTGGAGACACCTGGAGTCATGCTCTGTTCCACCTTTGGGGTTATCCCTCAGGTTAACACACAGCTGTGGGGTTTGTGCTCCTCCCTTAGCATCCTGTGGCAGGGCCACTTCTCCTGAATGCCACCCACAGAGTCCTGGGGACTCGGATTCTGGTCCCCAAGCGTCCCCTATGAGAGTTGAGCAAGTTACCAATCACTTGCACTTTGGTTTCTTATGGGGATAATAATGATAGTTACATTGTGCAGCTGTTGAGAGGATGAAATGAGCAAAATGACTAGACTAGCACCTGATGCATAGTCAGGATTCAGTAAGTGTTATATCACACAATTATAAAACTATTATTGTTGTTGTTGAAAAGATGCACAGATCTCTCATGCAACCCAGGGCAGGAAGGCAGCTGGATATCAGAAGTGCAAAGGAAGCAAGAACGAGCGAACCAACAGGACTCTCAGCGGCTCAGCTCTGCGCCTCCAAACAACCACGTCTGTTTCGTTTCATGTCTTCCTACAGATTAGCTTTCTCTGCTCCCCAGTCCGACACGGCCAAGTGTGGCTATCCACCCCAGCTCCTACACACCCATGTTATAGGCCCGGCCATGTTCCCAGGTTGGCTTCCCTTGTGGACCGGGGAGGGGGGATGGTTCCCAAAGAAGAGAGAAATAATTGGGTCATATGCCCTAAAAGGGGTCTGTGACAAAACAAACGAGAGCATTAATAGGGATTCTTCACAGGCCACTTCAAAATGACAATTGAATTTCTGTCCTTTCTGGAGAAGTTGCAAAAGCAAAAACCTCTTATAAGCTTGGCTATCACTGCCAATATAGATAAAGCGGGGTACTTCTTTGACTAATACAAAACAATGTTTTCTTTTATTGGGACCCGAATTTTGAAGAGATTGTGCTCCAAATAACAACCAGGTCAGATGGTGATAAGGAAAAGATGCAGCCGTAATCCCTGGGGCCTTTGCTATTCAGAAGCTCTTTGGAAATTTGTAATGTTACTTTTACTGTACCTAATGTTATCTTCTTGTCACACATTAAATGTTTTGTTGAATATATGAAACCAAGACAAAAAAGACCGTTGTGATAGCTTTTCTGAGGTGACGTGTTTGGTGAAGTTCAGATCATACTGACAAGTCCTTTGAGTAATTAAAATAACTGACAAATGAAATGATTAGGATGAGCTTCGTGTGCAGAAAAATAATTGCACTCATTTTCATGGTCATTTTATTTATTTATTTATTTGTCTATTTATTTATTTTTAATTGCTAACAAAAGAGCAAGGAGGAGAAATTCTGATGGTTTGGGCATTCATTTTAACAAGGGAACAGAAGCTGCTTGTTTCTATTCAGGATTCAACAATTAGAAGAAGAATACTCGTGGAGAATGTAATGTTGGGCCAGAATGCTTTTCTTTGGCAAAAGTCAAATAAACAAACATACAATCATAGATTAGATCCTGTTTACAACTCCTTTGTTGAACATAGGCCACTCTTGAAAAAGACAGTCTCATGTTTAAGAGTAACAGGATGGCCAAACTAGAATAAACCTTAAGAAGTGATCTAGAGAAATAACTCTAACGTCCATGAATGGATAAATAAATAAACAAAATGTGGTATATCCCTACAATGGAATATTATTTGCCCATAAACAGGAGTGAAGTACTAAAACATGCTGCAACTTGTATGAACCTTGAAAACGTTATGCTAAGTGAAAGAGCCAGTTGCAAAAGGCTACATATTACATGATTCCATTCCTACGAAAGTCCAGAACAGGTATATCTATAAAGACCAAAAGTAGATTTGTGGTTGCTTAGGGCTGGGGTGAGGGAATAGGGGATTGACAGCTAAAAAATATGGGATTCCTTTTGTGAGGCGATGAAATGTTCTAAATTTGACTGTGGTGATAGTTTCAGGTACTTGTGAATACACTAAAAATATATATATTAAATTATACACTTTAAATGGGTAAACTATAGGGTATGTGAATTCTATCTCAATACAGCTGTTGAAAAAAAAATGAATGAATGAATGAATGAATGAATGAAAACTGGTAACAACAGCCAAAAAAGTTATCTAAGTCATCCATACTTAGATGGTCCCAAACACATGGAAAATGGACCTAAAAACTGAGAAATGCTGGTTGACCTGGTTGGTCTCTTGATAAAGCTGTTTGCTCTTATGAATTTGCATTCATTGTATTGCCTCTTGTGTAATAAATAATACTTTTTAAATGGTAAATTATCCCAAAACATAGGATCCAAAATAATCTCTTTCTATTTTAAACCTAAGCAAGTAGGTGATTAGTTGCTCTATATCCCTCTGTTTTGAATATTTACTATTTGACAAATGACACGTTTTCTACAAATCATGTCCTAGGTAGTTTTAGAACTTGTCGATGGTTCATCAAAACATGAAAAGTAGGACTAAATTCATGGAGCTCATCTGAGCTTGAAGAATGTAATTGTCTTCTCTACTAGCAAATAAAAATGCCAAAAGTTGGCTGAGTGCAGTGGCTCACACTTGTAATCCTAACACTTTGGAAAGCTGAGGTGGGAGGACTGCTTGAAGCCAGGAGTTCGAGACTAGCTGGGCAGCACAGTAAGACCCCATCTCTACAAAAAATAGAAAAATTAGCGGGGTGTGGTGGCCTGCACCCGTAGTCCCAGCCACTCAGTGGGCTGAAGCAGGAGGATCACTTGAGCTCGGGAGTCTGAGGTTGCAGTGAGCTATGATAACACCACTGCACTCTAGCCTGGGTGAAAGAGTGAAACCTTATCTCAAAAAAAAAAAAAGTCAAAAGCTGTGGCAATTTTTAAAGCAAATGAAAACAGAGAGTAAGAAGCATGTGGTAAATTCTCTAATGCTAAGTTCTCTAAAGCCAGGGTTCTGGCTGCTCTGTCTGGAGCACTAGGGTTTGGTGGAAAGTAACAGAAGATCATTGCTTGTCATCTAAATACAAAGATATGGCTGGGCACGGTGGTCATGCCTATAATCCTACCACTCTGGGAGGCCAAGGCAGGTGGATCACTCAAGGTCAGGAGTTCGAAACCAACCTGAGTAAGAGTGAGACTTCGTCTCTACTAAAAATAGAAAGAAATTAATTGGCCAACTAAAAATATATAAAGAAAAAATGAGCTGGGTATGGTGGCACATGCTTGTAGTCCCAGTTACTCGAGAGGCTAAAGCAGGAGGATTGCCTGAGCCCAGGAGTTTGAGGTTGCTGTGAGCTAGGCTGACGCCACAGCACTTACTCTAGCCTGGGCAACAAAGTGAGACTTTGTCTCAAAGAAAAAATAAATACAAAGATATAATGAACACTGTTCAAGAATCTGCTGCTTAACAAAGTTCTCCCAGAGACATGAAAAAGAACAAGCAACTACAGAAGAAATCAAAATAAAAAGAGAAGTTAAAAGAAAATAAGATAGAGCCCCCGCCAGCCTGGTCTGTTAGGGTAGTGGTCCCAAACCTTTTTGGCCCCAGGGACAGGTTTCACGGAAGACAATTTTTCAATCGAGGGGGTGGCGGGCAGGGGGTGGCTGAGCTCTGTGGCCGGATCCCTAACAGGTGGCAGACAGATACAGGTGGAGGAACTACTGGGGTTGGGTTCCGCAGCGTCAGGATGTAGAAGCCCCTGGGGCCTGGGAATTCTGCCAAACCCCTCAACCTCTCATGGGCAGGCAGCAAGCCAAAGGGACCCTTGTTTTCACAGAAAGTCTTCCCGAAACCCAGGTGGACACTCAGTCCAGAGACCAAGAAGTAAAATCCATGCGGAAGCTCCCTGGAAAGTTTCGTTCACTGGAGACAAAACTTCTGGATTCCCAAGATGAACCTGAGCGGTGAGAACACCCCATTGAAAGCATCGCATGGCGAATCCAGTTCCCTGGCTTGGATGCAGTTGCCAGAGTAGCCTGCGAGAGGCGCTGTGACATGGGGTGGTCTGTGAGCCCCCAGCCCCCAGAGCTGGTTACAGGCCAGAGCTTTTAGCCCAGCCAGGGACAAAGGGCCACGGAGCCCCAGAAAACAGAGAAGTCCTGGAACTGAAAGAGTCAGTCCAGTATCTTGACCTAATAATTACCCTGGGCTTTTTTTTTTTTAATCAAAAATAAATTGATGTTCAGACCTTAGGAGAAAATTGAACAAACTTAGTGTTTTCTTTTGGATCGAAGCCAAGGCAGGGCTAACAAGCCATGTTCATCCAGACTCCGCGGAAGGAGCTTGCAGGAAGTTGCCAGGAAGTTCACATGGGCACGTTCCCCAAGTGCCAAACCCCACGGCAGATGCTGTCTTCTGAAGAAGTCATGTTTGTGAGACATCACACTCCAGTGACTTCGTGACTGATACTCAGTTGTCCCGCCTATAACAGTGTTTGCCTGGGTCAGTTCTGAAGAAGAATGAACGCATGTTTATATTTAGGAAATGTCTGCATTTAGGTGTGTTTACACTTAAATCACTTCAAGTGGCTTTGTAGATTTTAGCAAAATAAAATGATTTATACTGAAGCGAGCCATACACATACCCTATGACCCAACAACCACTTTTAAATATATTCTCGACAGGAATGTCCACAGATGTGTACAAAAGACAAATCCAAAAATGTTTGTAGGCTTATTATTCATATTAGCCAAAAAAAAAAAAAAGGAAAGCAATCCAAATGTAGTCAACAATAGAATGGATAAATAGTGATATATTCCTACAATACCATGGAACAATGGTTCACTCTTATATACAGTATAAAAGAAACCAGACACAAATGAACACAATGTATGATTGATTCCAGTTATATAAAGTACAGAATTGGGAAAAACAAACTTATGGTGTTAGAAGTCAGAGCAATGATCATCACTGGGAAAGAGAGTAAGTGTGGGAGCTGGGAGGGGCACTTGAGGGGTTTCTGGTTGATGGTAATCTTCTATTTCTTAACCTGGCTGGTGTTTTAGAGAGTGTGTTATCTCTGAAAATTCATCGAGCACTTAATGATATGCCTGCTTTTCATTATCTGTTCTATGTTGATAAGAAATATATTTTAAAATAAATTTTTAAAAATATCGTTTAATCATCTATATGGTAACTATAACTATTGCTAGGGACCAGTATATTGTTGTGGAAAACTGTAAAGCTACTGAATTTCCAGGTGTAGTGTTGATGTATCTGGAGAGAGCCCATATTATTATTATTATTATTATTATTAGACAGAGTTTTGCTCTGTTACCCCAGCTAGAGTGTAGTGGCATCATAATAGCTCACTGCAACCTCAAATGCCTGGGCTCAAGTGACCTTCCTGCCTCAGCCTCCTCAGTAGCTGGGACTACAGGCATGCACAACCACACCCAGCTAATTTTTTCTATTTGTAGTAGGGATCGGGTCTTGCTCAGGCTGGTCTCAAACTCCTGGCCTCAAGTGATCCTCCTGATCCTCCTGCCTTGGCCTCCCAGAGTGGTAGGGTTACAGGCTTGAGCCACTGCACCTTGCCAGAGAGCCCAAATTATGTCAGTGGTGACCATTATTGTTTGGTATTGTTGATGGCTGAGGCCCTAAGTCTTATACCTAAATTCAGATATTGGCCCTACCACAGTGTTTAAAAACCTAATCTTGGAGTTTAAAGTAATTTAAGATACTTTGAATGCAGAAAGAAGGATCTAGCCTATAATGACCTGGATCTGGGCAATTGGTCTTCCCTTCATGTCTTACTTTGGAACTGAACTCATTATCCTAAGAGCACACCTGGGACCTCTTTACCTTTATGTGATGGATGGTTCACTGCAAGTCTTCAGAAGACAGAATCTTGATGAATTAACCTGAGGCAGTCAAAAACTAAGAAGTGTCAGGGAAGAAACTGAAGGATTTCTTTAGAACTTTTCCCTTTGGGTTACTGTTAACAATTTAAATTTTATCATACCCTCTTCCAAAATTGTATTATTCTTACAGTGGCTCAGTGGCTAAAGAAAAAGATACAAATATTGTCTTAACAGAAGAATCTGAGCTTTTTAAAGATAACTTATTGGGGTGTAATTTATATATTATATATTCATCCATTGGCACTGAACATCTCAAAGATTTTGGTACATTTCTAGACTTACGTAACTATCACCATAATCCAATGTTAGAATATTTCTATCACCCCAAAAAGTTTTCTCATGCCCATTTACAATTAAACCTTGCCCCCACTCTCAGCACTAAGCAACCACTGCTTTGCTTTCTGTCACTATCAATTTGCCTTTTCTGGATGTTTCATATAAATGGAATCATCCACCGTAGTCTGTTATGTATGGTTTCTTTCACTTAGCACAATGTTTTCAAGGTCCACTCATATTGTAGCATGTATCAATAATTCATCTTTTTGTTGCTGAATAATATCCTGTTGTATGGACATATCCCATATTATTCATCCATTCACCAGTTGATGTATATATGGATTGTTTCCAGTTTGGGATCATTATGAATAGAGTTGCTATGAACACTCTTGTACGTGTGTCTTTGTGTGAACTAATGTTTTTATTTGTCTTGGGAGTGAAATTGCTAGGTTGTGTAGTAAATTTATATTTAACTTTTAATGAAACCACCAAACTGTTTTTCTAAAGTGGTTGTACATTCCCACCAGCAGTGTATAAGGGTTCTAGTTTTTCCCCATCCCTGCCAACACTTATTTTTAAAATTGTAATCCAGCAATCCCTCTTCTGGGTATTTACTCAAAAGAGTTGAAATCAGAAAGTCAGAGACATGTCTGCACCTCCATGTCTACTGCAATAACCAAGTTATGGAATCAAACTAAGTGTCCAACAAGAGACGAATGGATAAAGAAAATGTAATATACACACACAGTGGAATACTATTCAGACTTAAAAAATAAAAAGAAATTCTATCATTTGTGACAACATGGATGGAATTAGAGAACGTTATGCTAAGTGAAGCCAGGCACAGAAAGACAAACACTGCATGTTCTCACTTATATGTGGAACCTAAAACAATAGAACGCGTAGAAACAGAGAGTAGAAGGGTGATTATCAGTCTGGGGTCTGGGAGGAATGGGAAGATGATGGCCAAGGAGTACAAAGCCTCTGTTAAATAGGAGGAATGTTTTTATTTGTGATCTATTGCACAGCCTGGTAACAGTTAAAAATAGCAGAGTGTACATTTCAAAATTGCCAAGAGTAAATTTGAAATGTTCTCGCCACAAAAAATGATAAGTATTGGAGGTGATGGATATGTTAATTAACTTGATTTAATTATTCTAAATTATATTCATAAACCATAACATCACTTTGTACCCCATTAATATATACAACTATAATTTGTCAATTTATAATAAAAATTTTTAAGTAAATAAATAAAATTGTCCCCATTCTAGTAGGGATGCTGCAGTAACTCACTGTGGTTTTAATTTGCATTTCTATAATGATGTTGAGCATCTTTTTGAAATATCTGAAACTATAAAATAAAATCTGCTTATAATGATTACTATGCAATGATGAAATAGAATATTAAAATAATACCATAATTTTATTTGCCCAGCAACCTCCTTTTAAGGTAGTCAAAACTATTTTCATCATTTTATTATCCATCATTTTCAAGATCATCATCAAAAAGTACCTATTTATGCATTGGCCTTTCACCAGCAGCTCTGCAAAAATGAGTCATGCAGGTAAGATTCATGCCCTGCAGGAAGACAGAAAATTTTCCTCTGATTATTTATAGGGCAGTTTTTCTCTTGTTTAGATGTATTATCTTCCTATCACGGAAAAAAAAAAAAAAAGGTAACAAAATTAAACTGCTCAAACAAACAAACAAACAAAACCCTCTGTGAGTTCAGTGAATTGTGCAGGGTCCAAATAAAATAAAATAATGGGAACATCTTAGTAAAGTCTGTAATTCTCATGGCAGGGATGTGCAGTAGAAACAGGGAAGCCAGAGGGCCCAGGATGATCTTAAGGAATTGCTGGTGAAGGATGTTGCCCCAATCAGAAGCAGAGAGGCCCATGCTCATTGCTGGGAAGGAGCATTTTTATAGGATGTGGGTTCTATTCTCAGATTTAATGCTTTCTCTATAATTACCTAATGGTTGTGTGTGTGTGTGTGTGTGTGTGTGTGTGTGTGTGTGTTTAGAGACAGTATCTGGCTCTGTCACCCAGGCTGGAGTGCAGTGGTGCAATCAGAGTTCACTGAAGCCTTGAACTTCTGGGCTCAAGCAATCTTCCCGCCTTGGCCTCCCAAGTTGCTGGGATTACAAGGCATGAGTCACCATGCCCGGCCGTATTTCTTCTGTATGTAAAGAGATGAAATGAGTTCAAGCCTTGGTAAGTTCCTAAGAACTTCATGGAACCTTTGGAAGAAAGATCTTAGACTTCTCCAGAATCTTAAGAGATTAAATCTTCCAGATCTCCTTTCATATTTCCATTTCACATGCCATTCCTAAATAAGCTCTAAAGTCCTGTTACAAAATCCCAATTCAAGAAGAATAAACAGCCCACAGACTTGAACATCTATCTTAAACAGTCTAAGAGTCCTTTGTATGAAGCCTACCAGAATTTACTACTAAATCCTGAAAAGTAAATTTTATATGATTGTATTGGCTTGTTAGTGGTATATATTTTACATTTTTGCAGACTCCCTTAATAACTAATGTTCTGTTCTCCTTGCATGAAGACAATGCTATGAAAATGGACTGTGTGCTATGCAGTAGAATGTTCCAACAGGGTGTAATGAGTCAGGTACTGCGAGGTTCATCCGAAGTACTGTTGCTCTTCAGGCCAACAGCAGAAATCTCCAAAGCAAGGATTTGCTTATTTCCTTATTAAAAAAAAGAAGAAGAAGAACAAATTTGTCTCTGAGCCAAGGTAACTGGATTGTGTAGAAATCAAGTCTGTTGGTGAAGGCATTAGTGCTGTACTGTAACTAGTGCAAAGAGGTCTCCACGGTTGATGCACACAGCCCAGGGGACTGTGCCATTGAGACTTCTGTGTTTATTTCAACCTAAAATTTAAAAAAAAACCTAAAACTTTAAAAGTATAATTTAGAAACCAGACACGAAAGATCACATATTGATTCCATCTAGTTGAAATGTCCAGGATGGGAAATCCAGGGAGACAGAAACCAGATTAGGGGTTGCCAGGGGCTGTCTCTAAATAAATAAACTATATAAATTAAAATTTTTTCTGCCCAAGAAACTGGATTATAAATAATGCAGATAATGCAACCACAAGAAAGCAACAAGAAAATGGCAAAGCTAACATCTTTGCTTTTATTTCAAGTTCATCGTCAGCCACATAACAAGCTAAATAAAGCTAAGATCTGGTGGCCGGGCGAGGTGGCTCACACCTGTAATCCTAGTACTCTGGGAGGCCAAGGCAGGCAGATTGTTTGAGCTCAGGAGTTCAAGACCAGCCTGAGCAAGAGTGAGACCCCCGTCTCCACTAAAAAAAATAGAAAGAAATTAGCTGGACAGCTAAAAATATAGAGAAAAAATTAGCCAGGCATGGTGGCCCATGCCAGTAGTCCCAGCTACTCGGGAGCCTGAGGCAGTAGGATTGCTTGAGCCCAGGAGTTTGAGGTTGCTGTGAGCTAGACTGATGGCACAGCACTCTAGCCTGGGCAACAGAGTGAGACTCTGTCTCAAAAAAAAACCAAAAAACTAATAAATAATAAATAAATAAATAAATAAGAAAGATCTGGCAAAAAGTTATGAAAAATAATTAAAATTATCAAGAAAAATAATTGAATCATTAACATCTTTTATCATTGACCCTCAAGCAAAGCATATATTATACTTCAGATAGTATTAATTGTATGTTCAAAATCATGTGATCCTCAATACAGCATTTTACAAAAACTTCGCTAAGCTTAGTAAGTTTAGCAGCCTGTTTTGCAATTCCTTGTTTAATACAGAAGTTTAAAAAGAAACATACCACTGGGAAAACACTTTTTCTTCCTCCCACGGGAAAACTGGTTAAAATAGCAAATAGAAAAAATGGGCAACCAATTGAAATGCGTTGTTTTCTTAGCAAATCCATGGGAAGACTCAAAGAAAATTGGGCTAGAGATGTGAAGAAACCAATGTTACAACAAATCATGCAGTGTGGGAGGTCTGAGTACAGTCGGGTGTAAGTACAGGCGTTTCTAACATGTTTCAGCTTGTGATATTTGCAAGATTCTGTTTCAATAATGAAATTCAGTAGAAGCTACTTTTTGTGAGCCACTAAAAGAAGGATGTGTCAGAGAAGTCATCCTCAACCATAAGTTACCTCTTTAAATATGTATATTTTATGGAAAACCTAGATAAGTATAACCATAAAATTACTTCTTTAAAAATGTATTTTGGCCAGGCATGGTGGTTCACTCCTATAATCCTAGCATTTTGGGAGGCTGAGGTGAAAGGATCACTGGAGGCCAGGAGTTCAAGATCAGCTTAGGTAACATAGAACAAGACCTGGCTCTACAAAAAAAAAATTTAGCCACACTTGGTGGTATGCACCTATAGTCCTACCTAACGTGGGAGACTGAACCAGGAAGATCCCTTGAGCCCAGGAGTTCGAGGTTGTAGTAAGCTATGATTATGCCGCTGCACTCCAGCCTGGGTTACAGACTAAGACTCTGTCTCTTAAAAAAAAAAAGAGTTAAATATTTTTAAAAATCTTGACAAACTTTAAAAAATATTATGGCAGTCTGGGAGGCTGAGGTGGATGGATTGCTCAAGGTCAGAAGTTTGAAACCAGCCTGAGCAAAAGTGAAACCCTGTCTCTACTAAAAATAGAAAGAAATTAATTGGCCAACTAAAAATACCTAGAAAAAATTAGCCAGGCATAGTAGCAGATGCCTGTAGTCCCAGCTACTCGGGAGACTGAGGCAGAAGGATTTCTTGAGCCCAGGAGTTTGAGGTTGCTGTAAGCTAGGCTGATGCCATGGCACTCTAGCCAGGGCAACACAGTGAGATCCTGTCTCAAAAAAAAAAAAAAAAAATCTTAAAACAGGAACTATTTAAATCTAAAAATATCTTAAGCAAAAAGGTGACTATCAAACATTATTTCTTTTCAAAATATTTATTTTAAGTAGAAATTGATATAATGTACTATATACAGGAAGACAACCACATGTAAAATAATTAAGTCAAAAACTTTGAGGTATACACTCATTTGGTTATCAAAATATAAAAAACTCAAAATAATTTTACATTAGATATTTTAATTAAAAATAGTGATAGTCCATTCAAGTAACAAGTCCAAAGCTGTCATCAACTAAGAGGAATTACAGTTCTAATCCTTATATATGCATACAAACAGTCCTTACACAATAATCACGTACTTTTTAAAATCCAGAACTGTCCCTTAGAAATTCATAACTTTTTCTTTGTTACTCTTATGAAAATTATTCAGTATTTTTTTTTATAAACAAATTTTTTTTTCAAAATACTGCTAACTGCATCAACCCTTGGACAATGGATTAACATTGGGATTTAATATCTAAATTGTTTTTACAAAAGTAGAAATAGCTAAATAATGAGTCTCAGGTTAAGTGAGAGGTGGGGGTGGGTCACTAACCTATACAGGAATAATTTGTAATCTGATCAGCAGAGTGACAATGCTCCATGAGCTTTGAAAGTTGGCTCTACCTGATAACAACCAGTGTCGACACAAACCTCTTTGTCCTGGAACCCTTTCTCAAAGGCATGCATGAGTGCACCAAAAAAGAATCCCCGGGAGAAAGAAAAGTAAAAGCTGAGCTCTTGCCATGAGTAGAGTGCTGAGCAGCCCTCAGCCCCTGCAGGCCCAGCAGTGGGTGCAAACTGTCCTGGCTTGGCTGTCCCCAAGAGGACAAGGGTGGGGCAGGCCTGGACCAGGGCCCAGGAGGAGCAGCCCTGTGGGGCTGCGGTGGAAGAGAGAGCGATTCACGGATTCATTCGTTGGAGGAGCACTCACAGTCCCCTGGGGGGTCACCGTGGGGAAGCTGACCCTTACCACAGAGGCCCCCCGTTCCACCCGGTGGCCACCCTTGGTGTAAGGGCCCATCTCTGCTCTTTCCCCCTTGGTGATTTTCCTCTAGACCGTCTGGCTCCTGGCAGGGAAGATGGCAGGGCGGGGTTTCTTCCTCTTGCTCCTCATCCTCGGAGTCAGACCCATCAGACTCATCGTTGTAGAAGTGAATCGTGGCTTGCACTGGGAAACTGGCCAGCACTTTCTCCCCGGATCTCTGCAGGTATTCTTGACGTTTGGAAGCGGGTAGATAAAGTCTAATATTTAAGAAACAAATACACCATTAATCAACCTGAAAACAGCCCTAAACTCCTTCTAGAGAAGCCTTCTCCCTAGAAGCAGCGAAATCCCGAGTGTCTTCCTAAGTCACCAGAACGCGGAACTTCGGGCACCTAACGGAGAGACCTGGGGACAAGCCCCACCCTAGTTCGGAAGTGAGCTGTCGTCTGAACGAGCAAATCCAGAGTAGAAAGATGTGCTTGGCGAAAAAAACAGAAAGGAAAAAAAGAAAAAAGCTCAGATATATAAAATTTGAAGCCCCTAACTTTCAGGTCTTATGGAATTCAGGATTCTCATAATACATGGAAAGTATTTCAAACATTCTCCTCCTCCCCATAATATCTTATCCTTTACTTTGCATTCACTAATTTATTTGCATTTTCTCCCATGGTCTTCTGAGGAAGTGACAGGTTTGTCAATTGAGTACTGCTTACTTGCAAAGCTGATTTCAATATCCCTTATTCTGGATAGAGGAGAAAAGAGAGAGAGGAAATACCCTCCTACAAGTAATGTAGGACAATGTTTTACTGCCTAAGATTTCCAATAGACCAGTGGTTCTCAACTCCCAGAGGACATATGGCAGTGTCTGGAGACACTTGTGGCTGTCACAACTGAGGGGAAGCCACTGGCATTTAGTGGGTAGAGGCTAGGAATGCTAGCAAACATCCTACAATGCGCAGGACAGCCCCCGAAACAGAGTCATCCGGCCCAAAATGTCATTTGTGCCAAGGCTGAGAAATTCTGCAATAGACAGAATGTATATCTAAGACAGAAATATAAGCATAGTTTAGTTTTTAGCCATGTTAAAAAATTAGGTATATATGCTGACGTATTTATAAGGTGAATTTGTAGGATGTCTGGGATTTACTTTAAAATATACTAACAACGGCCGGGCACAGTAGGTCACACCTATAATGCCAAGATGGGAGGATCGCTTGAGGCCAGGAATTTGATACCAGCTTGGGCAATGTAGCAAGACCCTGTCCGTCAAAAAAAAAAAAAAATTGGTGGGCATGATGATGTGCATCCATAGTCCCAGCTACTCTGGAGGCAGGAGGATTACTTGGGCCCGGGAGTTTGAGGAGGCAGTGAGCCATGATGACGCTGCTGCAATCTAGCCAGGGTGACAGAGAGAGACCCTGTCTCAAAAATAAAATAAAATACGCTAACAACAGCAACAAAAAGTCGTTGGGGGTGATAAATATGATCAGATCAGAAGAATGTTGATAACTATTGAGGCCAGAGAGTGGGTACATGGCATAATAAAAATATTATGTATCCAATATTTCATCCATAATGAAATTATGTATCCAGCGTGCGATGCACAGTTACATGGCTGCAGCTAGTGCCCCTGCAGTCACCGCATGCTCAACCGAGCATAAAAGCTTCCCCATGGATTCTATGAGGATGGAAAACCACTAACGTAAGGATACCAGGAAGGCTTCCCTCTAACCAAGCCGAGGGGCTCTGAATTTCATCTCTGGAAATGAGTGTCTTTGGGATATATTAAAGCTTTCTAGGGTAACCTTCTGGGGTGTCCAGGGCAAAAACACCCCGAGGAGTGGTTAATTTGGGGAAGGAAATGAGAGATTGAGAGCGATAAAGACAGATAAGAGCTCTCAAATGGACGCAGTGTAGGCAGGATACAGCAGTGAAAATCCTGGGCACTGTCAGGACCACGGACGCACAGCTGAGGGCTGGAGGAAAACAGTGTGCGGAAGGCGCTCTGAGCCCGCTGTGCCGGAGCCGTCTCCATCCCTCACTACTCAACACAGATCCTGAAAGTCTGCTTTGCACTACACAATACATTAGCTTATATCCTGGAAGAGAAACAGAAATGTACCTCAATATCTAAGTAAATAAATAGATGTGCATATCCAATTCATATGCAATTAAATTTAACACAAGGCATACCATGTATAAATTAAAGTTATAAAGAAGAGAGCCCGGTCGGCTCGGTGGCTCATGCCTGTAATCCTAGCACTCTGGGAGGCCGAGGAGGGCAGATTGCTCGAGGACAGGAGTTCGAAACCAGCCTGAGCAAGAGCGAGACCCCCGTCTCTACCATAAATAGAAAGATATTAATTGGCCAACTAATATATATATATAGAAAAAATTAGCCGGGCATGGTGGTGCATGCCTGTAGCTACTCGGGAGGCTGAGGCAGAAGGATCGCTTGAGCCCAGGAGTTTGAGGTTGCTGTGAGCTAGGCTGATGCCAGGGCACTCACTCTAGCCTGGGCAACAAAGCAAGACTCTGTCTCAAAAAAAAAGAAGAGAGCCCAATTGCACCTTGCAGCCGAAACACCAAATGAATGAACACATGAATAGTTTTCAGAAATCCAACAAAATATCCTGAAGTCCCTTGGTCTGAGGAAACTAAATTATATCAAAGAATATATTGAATTATTTTCCACTTTGTTGAGAATTGATATGGTTGAAGACACCAAAGTGTATTAATGCTTCTATTAAAAGGAAATTAGAGATTTCTTATTGTGAAGTCATGTATTACCTTACAGGATGCTGAAACCCAAAGGCTCCCTTTGATCCAAAAGTTTGCTGGGCACCTCCGGGCTCAGGCTGTAAAGACAGACACATCCACACAGATACAGTCAAGGAGCCTCTGGAGGTGACCTCCTGAAGCTTTAAAAAGTAGAATCTCAGTAGTCTGCAATTGTTCTGTACCAATTTTAGAGAGTTTAAACACCTTAGCAGTAGCTGATAAGCCTGTTCCTTTTACTGTGGCCCAAAATGTCCCAGGCGCTGTGCGGGATTCAAAGATGGAAAGGGTGGGATGCAGAGCCTTGGTCCAGGCATTTTACAATCTAACGGAGAGAGCTGCACGCGTATGCAAACGACTAAGCGACAAAACATAATACGGTAAGACACTCGTGACCCTAAGTGGGGAGAAGGATCAGGAAACGGTTCATGCAGGGCCTGGCAGAGACGTCCGTGGCACATGGGTGTGATATTCTCAGGCTGTTCCGGCAGGGGACAGCATCAGATCAGAGGGGTGAGAAAACAGAGGGCACGGCGGGGAACTGTGGGCAGCCCAGTGTGGAACGAAAGAGACGCTGCGATGCTCAGAGGTCCTGATGGCAGAACGCCGTGAACACCCACTACTGAGTTTAGGTCTGATTCTAGATACAGGCGCTGCTGGCTGATTCTTGAGCCAGGGAGTTCAACAATCAGATCTGCATTTCAAGGACAGTGGTGGCTGCTGGGAGAGGTGCATAGATCATGTTGGTGAAGAAAGGAAGGCACTAGTCTTGGCAAGAGGTAATAAAGGTATGAGTGCAGGTAACAGCGATCGGAAAGGAAAGGAAGGGCAGAGCCCAGGTACATACACCTCAGTAGCATCCAAAGGTTGGAGACCACTTGAGTAGCAGGAGCCAAGGAGGGGGGCAGCTGGTCTGAGCACCAGGCAGCTAAGGACAGCATTAGTGAGGACAGGACACAGCAGAGAGCCGGGCCTGTCCATCGTAACCTCTGAGCAGGGTGACGGGGAAGGTGAGGGGATGGTCACACTCTACCTGTCCAGGGTTGATCCTGTTCTGCCGAAACCCCTGAGGCGGCTGGGCCTGAATGGATGTGGCCTGAAATATAGCCAGATTATCCCAGAGGCCGAGAAGCCAGACATTGTCATTTGACCTCAGGTCTCTGAAACCTGAGTTACTGCAGAGAGTAAGGAGTGGGGTGTTCTGGATCATGCTGGGATGGCCTGGAAATGAACCGAGATGGACTGGGGCAATGGATCTGAAAGACCGAGCCCTTGGAGTCCATGGAGTTTAGTGGGAACAGATGAGGGACCTTGGGGGGAGGGGTCGTGTGTGTACACGACATCTGTGAGCAAATCAGCCCACGGGGAGCCTCCTCAGACATGACGCTTTGTCAGCCGCATTTCTGTAACACAATGTGATGAGCTAAAGGAAGTACAGTGAGGTTCTCCGGAACAAAATCCTTTCCATAAAGTTGTTCACTTTTTGGGTGCTACAGGAAATGACTTCTGTGTTAAGCTCTGTTTGCAGTTACAAGATGCTCCTCAGGCTCCCTCTACCACCACAAGCAATCCTGTCCTGCTAAAGACAATGTTACACCCCGAGATGGGGCAGGGTCCACCCGACACGCAGACTTTGGTGGACACCAAAAGGCAATGGTAGGTGGTGCGGAGAAAAAAATAGCTTCTTCAAAGCATCTGGTTCTAACCAGCTTCTGTGAAACATACAAGTACACCTTTATAAACTTTAAAAAGTTTACGGCACAAACATTTACAGCTTTAAAAATTTTACACCACAAATATCCCGATTATTTTCCAGAAGGATCTTATTCAAGATTCTTTTCTGTTGAGGGAAATGTCTAGGTATCCACATATTATAATTAAGCACGGAAATGTATACAAGATAAGCTCTGTGCTTAAAGTATGTAGGTGTGTGTATGTGAGTGTGTTTTCTTCCTTTTTTTATTTTTTATTTTTATTTTAGAGACAAGGTCTCACTACTACCTTGCCCAGACTGATATTGAACTCCTGATCTTTTCCCTTGGCCTCTGGGTGTGTTTTCTCAAGAGCAAGGGAACAGGCGTGAGCAGAGACACTCCAGTGAGGGTGGGCCTTCTCCCATGTGTGCCTGTGACCCAGGGCTAAGGCCGTGGACAGGCCCAGGAGAACAAACAGTGCCTGGCCGCTTCCAGGAAATTCCCTCGCTTGCAGTGCCCGGCAAGTGGCCAAGAGGGAAATGTGACCGAGGTCAAGAACCGTTTAGGTTTTCCAGGCAGGCGAGGTGGACAGCTGTCTAGGTGTGCTAGGAGCACCAAGTGGTGGCCCCGCTGCTCAGGACACGGGGCCTTGAGGCCTTCCCTCCAGTTTAGCTTTTATTCTAATTTTGATCTGCTTGCCGGGAGTCCTGGTGCAGGTCACCAGGCCACAAGCCGCCCTCACTGGCACCATTCCCTGCTCATGGCATTTCTTGAAGAATACAGAACAGGGTTGAGCCCAGGAATTCTCCCTCTTTGTCGGGAGAGGGCGCTGTTGAGCAAGACGCGTTCCTTCCCGCGCGGGGCTGCGCTCACCTGCCGGGCTGCGGGGAACCGCGTGCGGCGCGCGCAGCCCCCACGGAACACCACTCCTCCCCCACCCAAATCCATGGACACAACTCTTCCTGCACGGTGACAGGCAACCGATTGACGAGAAAGTTGCTACAACTTAACATTGCTCTGCAAGTAATCATTTTTCTCACAAATGGCCTTCTCATTATAAATAGAAAAAAACCAGACACCACCTGCCTTACTTAGGAAGTGTGCTATGGTATTTCCATTCTTGCAAACACCTGCTAGGCTCCACACGCATTTCATTTAAAAGAAAATTGAATAGTCATAAACATCTATATTATCTGTCACACAAGCACCTTTAAATCTTTTAAGAACTTAAGTCTGAATGCAAAAGAAGGAATTATTTTACATTATTTAGATATTGTATGTAAGAATGATTTAGGCTAAAAATCATATCTCTTGTTAATTTGATATAGATTTTATTTGCTTCATTCTTTAAAGTAAATAACAGTAACTGAACTAAGACTCCCAATATTCAGATTAATTTAACACAGTAGCCTAAATATCAAAATATGATGGAGTGCTGTCCCGCACCCAAATTTTCTTACTGTATTCCAGATAATTGCACAGTAAGCCATATGCCACGCGTGTTACGTATATTAAATACAGGGTCCTTCCCAGCCTGCTTAACTCCAGCATTTTAAGTAAGTCATCAAAAAATAAATAAAATAAAAGTCATCAATTTATATTTTAAACATAAATATGTTTGTTATATAACAAAGGCAAGGTAAATTCTATGAAAGCAAGTCATTACATCAATAAGTATAAAGCAATTTAGTTACCAATGCAGGCTAACAAAAGAATAGTAGTGGCAATTAATCTTTGCCCACAAAGCACTCGGCTTGAGTGTATTTGCTCAGACAACATGAGTTACCCCAGGAGTGCTTGCAGACAGCGCCAAAGTGCTTCAGAAAGGGCCAGACGCAGGTGAGGGCTTTTAACTGCAACTTCTGGGCTCCTTGGATGGGGCTCTGCCCTATTTGCACTGTGTGGCACTCTGCTTTTTTCTAAGGTGAGGGGCTGTGACTGCCTTCTCCCCTCCCCTCTCTACCTGCTGGCTTGCAGAAGAAACCCCAACATGGAAGAAACCCCTTATAATTCCCACGACACAGCTATGCCATAGTGGCTTTGCTTTTCAAGAAAGGAGAAGCCATCAGGAGCCCAAGCTATAATGTGACTCAGGTCTGAGTAATACCTTACTCATACAGGCTCCCAGCCCCCAGGCGCTGATGAGTTAGATGTCCCAGGCAGGCCTTTCGCGGTCCCTTTATTTCAGAGATGGAGCCACTTTCTGGCTGGACTGGTTACCTTCAACGCCCACAGTTAGCCTTACCGGGCTTCCAGCTGTGGTCGGCTCAGCATCTCCGGGGGTCAGGGTCCACGGTCTCCACGGTGCGGGGCTGCAATGCAAGCACCAGTAGGGAAAAGACATTTCTGCTGTCTTTTAAATTATTGAGAGCTAGTCTCGTTTCTAGTGTCTGCCTCAAAAAGAGTCACCGGACACCCCAGAATGTCCCCTCAAGTTCTCCATCGGTGTTTTTCTCTCCTGATGCACTCCCAGTTCTCTGCCTTCAATTAGGTTTTGAGAAGGTAGGTCCCAAATCTGACACTATTATTGGGGAACACATTAGGTGAGGGATTTCTCTCCCAACTAATTCTGGCTCCAGCCTTCAATTCTGGACCTCCCACTATAGCTGGCTACTTTGACGCTTTCAGGGGTGGGGAACCTGTGGCCTCAAGGCCACATCTGGCCCTCCAGATGCGACAGTGTGGTCCCTCCACGGAATCCAAACTTTATCAAATCCCTTCATTGAAAGGATCTGTTCTGTAAAATTCGGATTCAGTCAAAAGGCCACACTCAAGGATCCAGAAGGCCACGTGTGGCCCTAAGGCCTCAGTTTCCCACCCTGCCTCCATCTCAGAAACATTTTGATTCTACAGAGATTATTTTAGAGTTCTACAACGCAAAAAAGGGAAAAATCCGTTTCTCCTCTTTGGCTACCTGGCCCACCGAGCCCCTCCCCTCCCTCCCCGACGAATTCGATTTCCTTAAACCTGCCAAGGGCTGGTAACAGCGATAGCGAGCGCTGATCCCCAAGCGCAGGGAAACCAAAGATTGCCACCAAGAAAGTGACATTCAAAGTGAGGGGATCTCTTTGCAAGGCTGGCTTACGGTCCAGAAACGTCAGTGCTTCCCCGCCGGGTAAATCCAGATACCCTATAAACCGAAGTGTTGGCACATTTCCTTGCCAGGTACCACCTGGGCCTCCGCGGTTCAGAAGCGGGCGCCGGTCTCTGTCCTGGCTAAGGAACTTGCTCGGCGTCGCCGTCGAGCTCAGGGGCTCCGCCCGGCCTCGGGGGTTTCGGTGTCGCGGTGGCCCCCGCCCGCTGCGCTCCCCGCACCCGCGCGGCGCGCGCCTCTCCACGCGTCCACCTCTGCCGCGGGGGCGCCCTCACCTGTCTGGGCCGCGCGGAGGCGGCGGCCTCGGGGGCCGGTCCCCGGGGCAGTGACAGAAGCCCCCCTGAGCCTCCCGAGCTCCGGCGGCCGCGGCCTCGGGTCTCATGGTGCCCGCGGAGCCCGCGCCACTCCCGCGCGCCGGCCCCGACCGGCCAGTCTCGGCCCGGGCGAGCGCTCTCCCCTCCCCGCGCGCCGGGCGCCAGGTTTAAAAACGGGGGCGGGGCGGGAAGGCGACAAAGGAAACAGCGGGGAGTCGGGGGGGGGCTGGAGAGCTGCGGGAGGGGTTGCGGGGGGGATCCGGGGTGGCAAAGGGGAAGCCCGGGGAGGAGGAGGGGAAAGGACGAGAGAAGTTCCCAGCGGGGACAGGGCCAGCCGGGGATGGGGAGGAGACAAGGAAAGCTCAAGGAGGGGGCGCCGCGTGGCCGGGCGGGGAAGGCGGGTGTCAAGGAGAGGATTTGGGGAGGCCGGGGCAAGGGTGTGGAAGGGACAAAGGAAGTCGCGGAGGGGGCGCGAGGGCTGGGCGAGGAAGTTCGGGGAGGCGACGGCGGGAAGTGACTAGGGAGGCGCAGAGAGCGAAGGCAGGCACCGCGGGTCACGGGGCGTTTCCACCGCGCGCTCTCCCTGCGGGATGTGGGGGCAGCCTCAGTTCTGGGGACCCACGTGGACCCGCCAAGCCTTCAGGACTGGACCGCGGGCGCCCGGGACGCCCCGACCTCGGGGCTCGAACCCGCGGCGAAGCGGGTGGCGTGGGCGCGCGCGGGTACTTCCAGGCGAGGCAGGGCCATGGGCCGGACCGAGCGAGAAGAGGCTCAAAGACGGCGCCCTTCCCGCCGCAGGGGGCTGGGAAAAGAACGGGGCTCAGTTAGGAAGTGGGGGCGGGGGGACGGCGCGATTTCCTCCGAGTGGCCCCTGGCCGGGCTCAGAAAGTGCCTCCCGGGCCGTGGGGACCTCTCCGGTGGCAGGGCAGGGTGGGAGGGACGCGACCCCTTCCGTAGTGGCGCGCGACGGGCGGGGACCCCGGGGGCTCCTCGCTGTGGTCGAACCTGCCCCTCGGGGGGCCACTGCGCTGCGTCGGAGCGCTGGGACTCCCTGGATGCCATGTAAATGACCTTAAAGAATGTTAAAAAATCGAAGACCTTCAAGGATTAAAATGTTTTCACATTTTTTTTCTTTAAGATGTTGTCAACAATAATTAAACCTAATTAAAGGCAAACAGTAAAGAGGAAGAATGAACAACTTTGAACAATTTTATGCAAATAATTTAAGAGAAACTGAGTATTCTGGGGGGGGGGGCGGGATTAAAAGGATAGTGGCCGCATGGCAGCAAGAAGGTACTGTGTTACTTCTACCTAAGGTTTTTTAAAAAAAACACTGAGCAGCACGCTCTGGGTGCTTTAAAATGCGTGTCTTCAGGGTAGCAATGCAAACAGAGTACCTTTCTGAGAAGGTCTGATAACCTGTATCATGCGCCTTCAAAATATTCATTCACCTGTTGGCCTAGTCCTTCTACTTCAGTGTCTATGCTAAGGATGTATTTTGAAACGGGAATGAAGATGTATTTAATCACAGAGAAGTCTTCATTTTAGTGTTATTTATAATGTTGAAAAATATGTCTAAAATGTGGCAGAGATTGAATGATGGTAAGATATTACACAGCTATGAAAAATATTTTTGGAGTTTTGAACAGCGTGGGAAAATGCTTACAATATAATGATAAAAGAAAAACGCATATAGAGAGGATGCAAACTATGTACAAAAAGGCTACAAAAAACAGAAGGGGCCGCTGAGTACTGAGATGACTAAGGATTTTGGAGAGGCTTTCAAAAATGTTTTCTGAGTTTTCATCAATGAAAACTCTTTTATTGTGGTGAAATATACATAACATTAAAATGATCGTTTTTTTTAAACCCTTTTCAAATTTAAAGTTCCATAGCAATAGGCATTCTCGAATTGTTGCGCAACCATCCCTCTATCTCCAGAACTTTTTCGCAACCATCCCTCTATCTCCAGAACTTTTTCATCATCTCAAACTGAAACTCTGTCCCCATTAAACAACAATGCCCCATCCTCCCACCCTCCCACCCCCATTCCATTTTCTGATCTATGAATTTGACTATTCCAGGCACCTCATATAAGTAGAATCATTTGTTCCTTTGTGGAGCATATGTTAATTTTATAATCTTCAGTCCAACCCTGCAAATCAGGCATTATCCTCAGTTTACAGATGAAGAAACTGGAGTTCCTAGAAGTTAAATGACTGGTGCAGTCACCATCTGGTTAGAGAGCCAGGCCGGGCATTCCTGCCAAGTACATGGGCTTTAGAAACTGAACATCACCAAAAATAAATTTAAAGGGCAAAAGGATCCAACATAACACCTGCACACAGTAGACACTTGGTTTTCTCTTATTTTTTGCTTTTTCTTCTGCCAAATACCATGTAAGACCACAATGACCAGTGCTGGGATAATGTGAGCAACAAAATAAAGTAGCATTTCATTATAACTCAAATTATAAAATAAATATCCATGAGTTCATATTGAAATCAATAAATAATGAATAAAAACATGGGGAGAAGAGACACATTTCCTTAGTAGAAGTATCCCAAATAATTTATGTAGATAATCTGTCTTTGAGAAAGTAGAGTATAACTACATAAACAGGAATTAAAATTCATGACTATGTGTGTTTTTGATGAAAATGTATTTTTAAAAAATACATTCACTGGTAATATAAAATGAGGTTTTTAAAACAAAGTTCTTACTGTAGATAGAGGAATTAAAATACAATAAAGAAACAAATTGCTCTTGAGATGGTTGGGAATTCAAAGGGCTATTGTGTTACCAAGAACATTATTATTGTAACTATTTCTTAAACTTTATTTGGATCTATGGAAGATCCTTATGATAGAGGAAGTCATTTGGGGAAGGAGAAAGAAATCCTAAGAAAGTTAATTAGGCTGCTGGTTTATAAGCTGGGAAAAATGACAAAACTTCGAATGTGTGAATCCCTGCCTGGGAGGTAAGTAAAATGGAGACTCTATTCCTTGCTCTGCTGTCTTTAATTAAAAATTCTTTTTCATGTGCTGACTTTCAGCCCTTGCTTAGAAACAAAGAGTAACGATGTCAACCCTGAGGGTTTCCGGCCTGCCTAGGAGGAGGACACCAAAAGTCAAAACATCTAAGAGGGCAGAATATTTTTACATAAACAGTGTGGAAGACAAGCAGGGAAATGATAATTTCCTTTCCTTCTGTTTAGCCAGGCCGTATTTCCTGTTATCCACTCCACAGAGCGTTCGGCAACTCTTGAAGCTGTTTTAGAAGCTACAAGATATGGCTTAGTTAGTTTCTAAAACATTTAAGACCCCCCCCCCCAAAAAAAGTATATTTGTTCCGTGGGAATAAGAGATGTATTTGTTTTGTGGGGGTTTAAAATATGTAGTTTTATTTTTTTTTAATTGTGGTAAAATACATAAAACGTAAAATTTACCATCTTAGCCATTTTAAGTGTACAACGCAGTGGTATTAAGTACATCAACGTTGTGCTACCATCACCACCATCCACCTACAGAACTCTTTATCTTGCAAAACTGAAACTCTTAAATAATAAATTCCTATTTCCCCCTCCTTCTAGCCCATGGCAAGTACCATTTTTTCTGTCTCTATGAATCTGAATACTCTATGGACCTCATACAAGTGGAATTATAGAGTAATTGTCTTTTTTGACTGACATTTCATTTAACATAATGTCCTCAAGTTTCATTTGGGTTGCAGCACGTGTCTGAATTTCCTTCCTTTTGCAGGCTGAACAACCTGCTGGCCTTGGGAACCTGCCAGCCTTGGGAACCTGCCAACCTGGGGAACCTGCTGGCCTTGGGGCCACATGTGGCCTTCTGGATCCTTGAGTGTGGCCTTTTGACTGAATCCAAATTTTACAGCACAAATCCTTTTAATAAAGTCAACGGGCTGCACTTGGGGATCTGGAAGGCCACGTGTGGTCTTGAGGCTACAGGTTGCCCACTCTAGTCACAGACCCCATTTGTTTATCCATTCACCCCACTAACTGTAGATGGACATTGGGTTTGCTTCTGCCATTTGGCTGCTGTGAATAATGCTGCTATGAACACCATTTATATGAGCATCTGCTTTCAATTCTTTTTTTTTTTTTTTGCAATCAAAAGCATGGTTTAATATCAAAGTGGTGCAACAGAATTGAGAAGATATCTTTGACAATCAATTGGCTTATATTAAAATGTTCTATTTTTTTTACCAAGGATCCTCTCAAATAAAAACCTTTCGGTCATATAACTCATAAAATCAGCACTCATCACAATAAATCCCCATTGACTCCCAACTGAAAAGAGATACCCACACCCAGAACTCCAGGAGTTCCTTCACATCCTCAGGGTTGTACATGGTGTATATCCGTATCACGTTTTGTAGTTTCCAATGTGTGTAATGTCCTTTTGGGGTTTATTTATCTTGCTGGTCCATAGGAAGGGTGCAATGGTCCAAGAGTCAAGACATTTGAATCCTAGTTCTAGCTCTGCCACGGAGGAGCCACCTCACCCAGGGCAAGTTAGCCAATGTCTCAGCCATGTCTGTCACCCACGAAAGGACTGGTCAGTGTGATGGATGGTTCCATTAAGCTCTTCGAGCCTCCGCAGTGGTTACTCTTGAGTCTGGATTGAAAAGTACTGTGTATCCGATGAGATAACGGATACATGTTGCCCTTTGTTTTCTGGAGTGTTTTTCTTTTTCTTTCTTTTATTATTTCAAAATATCAAGGGGGTACAAATGTTTCTGTTACATGGATTGCTTTTATGATGCTCAAGTCAGGGCTGCCAGTGTGCCCGTCACCCGAACAATGTTCATTGTACCTGTAAGGTAGGCACCCCCCCCCCAATTCTTTTAGATATATTCTCAGAAGTAGAATTGCTGGATGAAATACATTTGGGTTTTTTTTTTTTTTTTTTAAACAGAGTCTCGCTTTGTTGCCCAGGCTAGAGTGAGTGCCGTGGCGTCAGCCTAGCTCACAGCAACCTCAAACTCCTGGGCTCAAGGAATCCTCCTGTGTCAGCCTCCTGAGTAGCTGGGACTACAGGCATGCGCCACCATGCCAGCTAATTTTTCATATATATATATATTTATTTATT